GTGTTCCTTCCAAAGATTCTTGCATATTTTTTTTCCTACAAGTCCTTAAATTAAGAGGTGCACACTGGATTTTTCTTTACCTTTAGACTGCCATGATAGGAAAAAACACTGTGACTTTCCCAAGAAAATGTCCATCCCTTGAGCTGCAGTGTATGGAAAGGAGACCAGAGGGTCGAGATGAGGGTCTTCTGCCCAGGATCAGAAGTGGTGCTTAGGTAGTACTTTCTGGCTGCCAGCTGGCTTTGATGGGATAGGAATTTGAGGGGGCCTGTTTTCATCCCTTTGTTCATCAGATTGTCCAGTACCCCTTTTGAGGCATATCTGGATTTGCAGGTCATCTCCTCTTCATCAGGAGAGTGTACAGAAGTACACTTACTTCCAGTTCATTGGTTCCAGTTTATAGCAGGTTAAGCTCTGTCTGATGACTGGGATGTGTGGGAAGAAGCTGAAGAAATAAGAAAAAATACAGGCTCTTTGGTTTAGAAATTAAATCTTTACAAAACTGTATGCAAAGCTGGTAGTCTCTTGTTACTCTCATCCTTACTACCTTTATTTATAATTTATGCAAATGGTTATCAGCACAACTGTAATGGGCTTTTGCTTAAGGCTGAATATGTTTGGAAAAATCCAGACAAAATGCCTAGGCTATTTTAGACTGATGCGACCATTTGTTCATATTTTTTAAAAAATAATATTTCTTTTTTCTTTTCTGGGAGAAAAGCAGTCTGATTTACAGAACTGCTAAGTGCTAAGTTCTGAAATGGAAGTGAATAGGAGCTGTGCTTTCAGTACTTTACATAACCATGGAATACTAAGTGCTCTAAATACATGGTGTTTAGGCATCAGAAGGGGTACCTTGAATTATTAAATATCTTTATCCTGATCTTTTTAGAATTCCCCATGAAAATAAGGATAATAAATTATTACCTTCTCACCTCACTAGGGAAGCATAAAGATAAAAGTTTTGGCTCCAATACTGTAATATTAGTTCTAATGCATTAATATAATACACTAATGTGCATATATTAAATGTTTATTTATACTATAAATAAATATGTTACTATAATACTTCAAATACCATGAGGATGAACACTGCAAGAAAACTCATGAGGAAATTAATAGAAGTTTTCAGAGCAAGTTTGATTCATGTGCAGCTCAGGGCCACTCCCTGAATGCATAGCATTGGCTACCTTCTCTTCGAATGAGTGCCATCTTCTCTGTTCCTGAAGTACAATACCTTCTAACTTCACACAACGTTAATAATGTTTGTCTAGTTCTGTTTCTTGTGTACAGTTTCTAGGCTTTGAATAAGTGTTGCACATCACTTATATGTTGCACATACTCAAACACCGTAGGTGTTTGAGGATTGAGTATCCTGTGGACTGAGCCCACAAATGAAACCTTTAGATCCCCTTACAGACTGCTGCCAGTTACACTAGAAGTAGCTGCTGGGAGAAATGGGGAACTCACTGGAAAATGTGCCTTTTCAGGAGGGCAGGCTCACAGGAATAAGCCTTTGTTAGTTGCTGGGAAAGCTCTGTGAAGCTAGAAAGTGGAGAATGCTCAGTGGAGAAGGAAGCTGCAGGGAATGCAGCTTTGTCAGTAAGCTTTAAACTGGCTAATTTTGGTTGGATTTTATTGGGAATAGTAAATAGCACACCCTTAACTCGACAGCCTGTTGTAATTAGTCCTTGCTTCAAACATCAACGTTCCTGAGTTTTCCAAACAAAAATCAAGAATATCTTTTACTATGAGTACAAAGAGCAACATTTTTTTCCCTGGTCTTTTTTAATTTGTCAGAAAAACATTCACTATTATGGATGACAATTATTCAAAATTTTGTTGCAATGCAAATGTCCATGATGGAAAATGTCAATTTAGCCAAACAGCTAAGGTCTAGAATTTGGCAAATTGTAAAGAAAAAATTACAAGGTCTTGTAATTCTAAGTAATGGGCAACCTTAGTAACAGGTGGTGCTTGCTTGTAACATCAGACACAACCCGGAAATAGCATCCATCCTGCTCCTTCTGTCTTCTCTAGTGATGTTTTTACAGAAAGTGTATTACTTCATAGCAAACTTTATGACGTGTCTGATCATAAGTGTCTGATTTTGCTGCAACAGAATGAAGGCAGGAACATTATGCCCCAAATTCTCTGATTGCTTGGCATGTCTAATGTACATATCACCTTCTTATAGTCTCCTTTTGATATTCCACTGGAATTTAACAAATTAAGCAGAGATTAATGTTAATGGAAAAGTAAAAATTAACATACATTTGTTCTCTGTTTTCACCAGGTGTCAGACACTACAGTAACAGACGCCAATTTAGGAATCTAGACAGATTTAGATAATTTCCTTGATGCTTGATGGCTATAATTAAATTAATTCTAGGAATCTGCACTGACACTCCTGCCATACTGTGAATGTGGCCTTCTAGCTCCTAATTATAAAGGTTTTCATGTTTGCCCTGCCACCTAGAGCTGTGTGGGGACCAAAATTATTTTAATTTTGTGAGTGCAGTGCTGGAGAAGGATATGCAGAGGGAAAGGTCTACCTGTCTCCAAAAGCCACCCGTAATCCTCTCTGCACTGAACCACATGTAAGTGTCAATAAGCATACTTGGGAGCATGGAGGCAGCATAGCTGGCCAGGCAGGGCAGTAAATTTAAGGAGCCACCACCCTGTGTGGCACTCTGCCTTTGAAAATAGCACACTACTAAATAATGCATGCTAGTGTGCTGGCCAAGTTAGCCTCACCTTGCCCAGACCTGTTGGTACAATGTGCTTTTTTGTCTGTCTGGAAGTATTCTAGGTCTTAGCAACAAGACCTGTCTCTGCCCTTGGGAGCTGAGACACCAAAGGCTTACAGCCACACAAATAGAAAGTGACACACCAGTCTAAGTACCATATTTGAACCAAGTTTCTGCTGCTTTTGCTAGTGTCCTTTCTATCAGTAGGAAAAGCCTGATTTCCCAAGCTATGTTGAGATCCAGTGGTCACATTCTCCTGTGGTGCTTCTGCAGCATACAAATGAGATGTGTTTCAGTGTGACTCTATGCTCCCATGTTTAGCTCAGTGGGACGATGTAAGAGGTGGGTTTCTTGTTGACAATGTTCTTCCTGGGAAGGGAAGTGCTCTTTACTGCTTTTGTATTGTGGTTGTCTTTGCTTACTTCTTAGCTTTTTCCTGGTAAGACATGATTTTGATGAAAGCTTTACTATAAATACTTAGACTTGACAACATGAATGTTTAGAGAAATCTTATCATTACCAGACCTACTTATGAAAACTCCAAACAGTCGCCTAGTTGTTTTTAGTGACATCCTTAACCCTTGGTATTGTAACTACAAGACAATACTGCTCTGCAAGACAGACATTATAGCTTTTTTTCTTCCTCAGGGATAACTGTCTTTGATAGGTGAGAGTCAAGGTGAGCAGCCATGGAACTTGACTATAACCTGGGTGAAAAATGATGGGATCTTCCCAGGTAACACTTGTACACAGGTGTACCCTATCTGTGTGAAAAAAAAGCAACTAAAGCTTTAATATAATTGGTGTTAGTGGGGATGATAAGAACAAAGGTGACATTTCCAATCATCTTGAAATTAGGTTCAGCATAAATAACATGTATGAAATGTTTCCCCTGCAATGACAACGAACTTTGATTAATAATTACTAGTATCTCTGGATGCTGAAGGACAATTCATTCCCTGTGTTTGGAAAATCTAGCATTGAGAATGCTTGTCAACATCTGTTCAGAGATTTATGATGAGCCCTGGAAGCAAAAGTGAGCAAAGACTGGAAAATTCACCCCACACAGAAGACTGAACAGTCACTGTATATTCAGCACTTCTTGCGTTTTATCCATACAAAGTAATGAAACCTCAGAACCTTCCTTCGTTACTACCATTTTTAGCTGTTTTCATGTTAGATGCCTTTTCTGACTAGTGAAATAATGTGAGATGGATGAAGGAAAGTTCATATTTTCATTTAGGTACCTTTTTTCCTGCTCAGGACCATGGTCACAATTTGGACATGTAACTCACACATGGTCAAGGAAAACTTTGGACTCAGCTCTTAGAACTGTCCTGCAAGCACAGATGTTCCATGGGGAAACAGCCTCAAATGGGCTCTTCACCCCATTTGAGAGTTGAACCGTTGACTGAATTAGCGAAAGGCTTCTAATGCAATGCCCAGGACGTGGCTTAGAGGAACAGGCAAAAATATTTTCCCTCACTTCCACAGACTGTGGAGCAGGTGTCTAAGGAAAAGTTCTAGCTTTCCTTTGCTGGTATTAACATTCAGAATTAGAAAGGATAAAAGCAGATAAATGTAAAATTGAGAACTCATCTGCTGAGTTTCAACCCCACTAACCTGCACATAGGTGAGCTGTCACACTCAACCCTATATACACATACGGTGATGATGTTTTCCCCCATTTTGTTTTCACTTTCTCTCAGATACCCAGAGAAGCTGAAAGAAAAAGAGACTTCCCTTTCTGCAGATTCATGCATTTTGCAGGATGCTCAAGGTATGAAAAGAAAGAATTGAGCCCATGATATTGGCTCACCCAGTCCACCTCCCTGCCAGCACAGGGTTATTCCATACCATGCATATCCCATGTTATTTGTAGACTAATTTTAATTTGGGACATTCCTACCTTTCCATTCTCCTCATTCTAATTATAATCTCCCTATCTACTGAAATAACCTTCATTTAAAAAAAAAAAAAAAAAAAAAGGGATGGTCTTAAAAAAACAACTACAAAGAAATCAAACCCTCATCCATTACCAGGTTTTTCTTTTGTTCTGGAGCCACGCGTGTAACCTGGTTAGACCTGTTCCCTTTGAATACTGAGGACTGAGCTGGCCTTATGCAAATACTCCCAACCTCATCTCGGTTGTTGTCGTTGCAGACCCAATCAAATGAACAGGAAGTGACCTAAGGAATTTCCCTATTGGCTGCCTGAGTGTTCAGCAAAATGTTTTAAAATTAATATCACATCCATTTATCTTCACTCCTGGGAGTCTTTAGGAGACATAACCTAGTACCTGTGGTTACCCAACCTACTGTTGTGTGGACAGTTTTCCCATCGTCTCTGTTAAGGATTTCCACTCCAGAATCTGCAGCTAAATGAGGTAAGATGTTTTGGTTTGGGGTTTTTTTTTTTTTGGTTGGTTGGTTTTTTGTTTTTTGTTTTTTGCTTTTTTTTTTTTTAATGTACTTCCTTCAAATTAACACCAGTGAAAATAAAAAAGAAAAAAGAAATGTCTACTGGGCTCATGCCTACTCCACTGAGCCCCTCCCTTCCCACTTCGGAACAGCAGCTAAGCTCATTTGATAAAAGGCTTTTTAATGTTACAATAAAGACTTCTGTTTTCCTATTTTGAACTTGTATCTTACTTCTGTTTAAATATTTCTGTTGTGTTTATGTTTCATTGGGGCCAGATCTACTGCCTTTACTTACCTAGAATATCACTGACTTTGAAATGAGTCAGTGGCTTTGTCAGGATTAGTTAAAGTTTCCTGAGGATCCTTTTTATTACAATGTATCTAATAACATTTTGGGTCCTAAATCTGCTGCTTTTGTCGACAGAGTTGTCATCTGTTCACTAAGGCAAGGGGCAAGAAAGCAGACCTTGACAATACCATTGAGAGTCCTGGTGTCACAGAACTGGCAGACACTTTACAATGACAGTGTTTCTGTTGCTTTTAGTGATGAGGGTCTTGATGATGATTGTGCTGATAAAAAAACCTCCTAAAGTACAAATTTATAATTTGTCTCTGTTTTTTTTTCAAGGCAATTTCTTGCCAAGTCTTGTGGTGAGGGGGGTTCTGCTGGTGTTAGTCCCTTCTAAGATAAAGCACCGCAGAGAACCCAGCTCAAAGGCTGGATAGATAAATACAGTGTGAGTAGAGGCCTGCAATGTCTTTGCCTATTTAATTTGTTTCTCTTCCAATGGTAATTTTATTTGAATAGAACCAGAATTGGCCCCTTAAGATATAGACACAGCTGTTTAAGTAATGGTAGAAGTGAAAGTAAAGAAAAAGTTGCTCAAAATTATTTTGATTTTGTAAAATATGTGTAATGAACTTAGTGACAAATGTTTGCATTTCACCACATGAGACTTTTTAGGCACATACTCTTGTGTATGTCATTATAAAGTTACTGAATTTTATCAGTGATGTGCTTTTGGATTACTTGATCTAAAAATATAATATATCCCCTCTGCTTCTAAAGTACATCCAACTATCCTTTTTTTCCTATTCTTTAGACTGTGAAACCATTTCATAATGACAGAAATTAACCTTGTGGAAAAAGTTTCATTTAGTGATTTTATTTGTACTTGTGCCACATAGTACTGTGTTAAATATACCTATCTTGCACCAGTATTTCCTCTAATTTGGGAAAACATTAGTGGAATAAAAAATGCACTCCTTCTAAGGGTTTTTTTTTTAAACAAATTTGCTGGCAGCAATATAAGCCAGTTTTCTGACATCTATTTTGCACTGTAGGAAATACCAGAGCTGGAAAATACAGCAGTGTTATATTTAATGCAAATAAAGAAACCAAGGGAAACACTTGCAATTAAAATTGAAAAGCAACAGGATTAAAGTGTTTCACTGACAAATATCACAATTAATGATGTTTTAATTCTTGGCCATTACAGTTTTCAAAACCAGAAATGATTGCTGTGATAACAATGTAGGAATTCCCAGAATTTTTCAGTTTAATTTGGTGACTTGAATTACAGCTTATCTTCTAAAAAACTTAGTCTTGAAATAAAAAGTCTAGAAGTCCAATGATGGGAAATTCACCAGAACTTTTTAAGTGCCCCAGCGACTAAATACCATTAATCTAAAAATATTTTATCTCATTTTCAGTCTGATGCGGTCTGGCTTCAACATTCAGCCACCTGATTTTGTTGTCCTTTGATGGTTAGTGTGAAGTTCCTCTGGGTGACAAATTTCTGTTCAGTGTTTAGGTAGCTGGCCACGAGTCCTTCCTTAGCCTAGTCTTTGATAATTGTGGTAGTCTGAGCTCCGTAGGCTATTCCCTCTCATGGGAAAACTTACACTACAGTGAAAACCTGTAGGACCTCAACCTGTTCCACTGTAAGCTTTTCCATCCTTTAATGACTTCAACGGGCCCCTTTAATTTTCCAACATCTGCTGTGAAATTTGGATGTCAGGACTGGACACAGGTTCTAGGAACAGCAGTGCCAAACACAAAGGTAATATGAATCAGTGTACTGGGAGTTTAGGGCCAGGGGTTTATAAAGCTTGCCCAAGGCTTTCTTAGGGTCATCATACTCCAGTCCCCCTTCGAACATTGGTCCTACATACGGAGACAAGGTAGAGTTGATGTTAATTGCTTGCACTTTTTAATAATTTTTTTCTAGTCCTAGTGTCATTTGTAAAGCCTGTAAGGATGGCAAAAAAAGTATATTTTTCTCATGTCATAGTAGTAAAAGATCTCATATCAGACCAGAATAATGCTTTGTTTGCCCCAACACAGTTTAGGTATCCCTTCACAGCAATTTATAGGGTGACAACAATACATATTGCCCCAGTAGTGGTGAGATTGGGTAATAGAATGTAGTCTGTTTAACATGGGATATTATTACCCTCTTGTCACCTGAGAGAATATGCTGTGGTATTACCCTAGTAATTTCATATTACTTCAGGTATTCTCAGGATGTTGTGAATTTTCAGCAGTGGTGGAAACAGACAATGGGATGATTGGACAAAGACAATATTAAATCATTTGGCTCCCACTGAGCTTCCTTAATTTTTTTTCTATTCCAAGTGAATTTTATGGTTAATATCAGTACTTGTTCTCTCTGGGAGGTTCAAGATAACAAATTGCAACAGAGCAAGACCAAACTAAAAAGGAAAAGTCATCCAGAGACACAGATGAAGATAAATTAGAGAGGAAAAAGGAAGATTTCTGTAGGTGTGTCTGTGTCCAGCCAGGACTGATGTTTTAGCCTCTTACCAATCCCACAGCAATTCAAACAAAGAAAACCCTGCGAGGATGAAATTCTACACCTGCTCAAGAGTGAATATTAATGTACAATTTTGCCTCAGTGAACTCAGAGAACTGTCTATGAGCCACGACACTCTTCCAGAATCAGTACTTACCTTCCCTTCCTTGTTCACCCCTTGCACACTCCCTATAAACACGTCTTAACAGACCCAACACCAAACCATTCAGTCTTCTTCCACACAGACTTTCCACTGACTGCAGTGCAAACCAGATCCATTCTGTGGAGTCTACAGTTACATACTTTCTATTGCTGTTTAGTTGCTTAGATTCAATTCCCACACAAGCGTCCAAGCTCTTTCTGCAATATGATGAATACCGTCTCTAAACTGGAGCAATGACCCGCTGTATGGAGAGACGGGTTGGAAAGTTGGTGCTACAGGACAGACCTGCCTGACTTAAAAATTGGTCAGTGTGCTGAGACTAAGCTATGGATAGAGATGAATGACCCCTTCTTATTCTGATGGTGGTGTGACCACCCTTTATAGGATTTTCTGTGGTCTTGCAGTTCTCTCTCATCATCCTTCCTACAGTTGTAAAGTAGGTATTCTTGTTGAGGACTAGGCGTTCCTGTGGCAAGCAGCACATAAAAAGAAGAGGGTCACAAACTTAATTGTCAGTTGTCATTGCTAATGACACATGATGTTAGGATGTGGCAGAACCAAATATAAAGGCTTTGCTGTACATAAGGAAATGAACAGAAATGCTACCAATTTTTGTAGCTTGCACAGTTTGCGATGTTAACTGAAGTCTCTGTCTGGTCTCACAGCTTAGTTACTATTGAACTTTCAAGCATAAACTCATGGACTTTTCTTCCTAATAATAAGTGTCTTGTGAGCAACAGTGAAGTTGAACACCATCTTCAGAAAAGTGCTCTGGATTCAGCCGCTCAGCCAGCACCACGCTCAAGGGCACTTCAGGATCTCTAACCACAAATGTCTGCTTCACCTTCAACCTGTCCCTGCCTTCAGCACACTCTGCAGCTCACATGTATTATGGCGCCTGATGAACCAAGGATTTTTTCAAGAAAAGAGCACACTGCAAACTTAGTAAGCGTGAAATTCATAACACTACTGATAGAAAGGGTAAGGAAAGAAGGGTTTGTTCATGTAGGTGGTATATGGAAAAGTAAGGACTAATTTGGTTTCTGTGGAAGTCATCAGGACTCTGTCTTACCAGAGCTGCTTTGAGGTCTACTGGGGATGCAGCTTGCACCAAATCCCTCACCAAATGCCTAAAATACTTGGGACATTTGTTGGTCATTGGCCCATACACGGGTGAGAATGAGTAACCATGGAGTTGTGTAGACAGTGGAGCAATCAACTGGCATTTGGCATTTGAGTATCTCCCTCTGAGGAAGAACCCTCAAAAGCTCCCTTTCCAAAAGCTGACCTTGCATGTGGTTATCGCTACCTATTCCTCCACTGATCTTGTGAAATGTGCTCCACAGGAAAGACTATGAGAACTAGTAGAGAAAACAGCTAGCTGGACAATCTCTGGTTATAGACCAATACGATGGGGCAATAAAAGAGAATTGCTTTGCAGTGGTGAAAAGAAAGTCATTCTACTTAAAGGATCTGCAAACACATAGAATAAAATAAAAGTTCCTGCCTATTATGGAGAAAGGATAGAGATATAAACACTTGAGATGTTTCCTCAGTTCACAGGCTGATGGAGCAAGTATAGCCTTCTGAGACCCTACAAGTCTGTAAGGATTAAACAACTATGTGTAAGAATAAGTTCTATTATCCAAATTACTAGTGCCATCAACAGAAGAATTGTTTTTGTTTTCTAAAATGGCTCTGGGTTTTCTTTCATCTAGCAGTGAGCAGGTAACTAATTAATATTGCTATATAATTAATGAACCTGTGTAAAACTGCCCAAGATGCTATGGTCAGGAATCAGACTAAGTCCATGATATAATGATTACCCCCAAACTTTTCAAATTATTTTCATTGAAACATATAATTATTATTACACAACAGCATAGAAGCTTGCATCTTGATGATGCACTTTCAAAGTATGCTTGGTTAAGCAATTGTCTCATAGATTGACATGGCTATGGAGGGGCTTTATCATGTGCTCATCTCT